CCACAAAGAAAAAAGCAAAGGCATTCAAATGTGATGGATCAGGAGCAGGCACATTTCTTAATTAATTTATAATTGTAGATTTGTGTGAAAATGTACTTGCACTAGCATAGAATAGTGCAATTAGTTTTGCTCTTTTTTTCTTTAACCAGCTTCATTAAAAAAATTAAAAAACACCTGTTGTTAATTTTACTGTTTATTTAATCATGAATTTAATATATGTTTATTATGTGTCAGGTACTATGATGGGCACTGAGTATATAATGGTTAAACTTTTTTTTAAAGTTTACAATTAAATGGAGGAGACAGGGCATTAAAAACTTCATAATTACAGGTATGGCCTTGCTTGATTGATAAGGGTGGTAGGAGAGACTGATGTGGGGATATAATTTAAATGGGGGATGGGGCAGCTAAGTGACATTTTAGCCTAGAGGGAGTTAGCCATCTGCAGGATACTTTACATTTCAGAGTCCAGAAAATCGGCAAACCTCTTATACTTCATGTTTTATCTTTAAATCTAGGAAAAGAAAATAGACAGTAACTTCTTTTAGTTTTATTGGATTCTTGGAGAAAGATTTAGAAATTAACTTTTCTGGGATTTCCCTGGTGGTCCAGTGGTCAAGACTCCATGTTTCCAATGCAGGCAGTGTGGGCTCCATCCCTGGTTGGTGAACTGGGATCCCACATTCCGTGCAGAGTGGCCAAAAAAAAATTATTTTTTCTCCTAAAATATGGTGATTGTGGGAGAATCCTAAATAAAGGGGAATACTTTATTTTTGTTTCAAAATTGTGATTTTATCCCACACTTGTTCCCCTGCTTCCCAAATGATGTGTGTGTGTATAATCTGTGTATATGTGTGTGTGTATAATCTGTTTCCTGATGAATATCAGGTAAAGACTGTATGTGCACAGGAAATAAGAAATAAGAACTCCCACAGGCTAGAATATTTGAATAATTTCTGCAAGATTTAATTAAAATAGGACCTGATTTAGAGAGGGTCTGCTCAATCTGCCATTTATAGCAGGGGAAGGAAATATCCACTTGGAAAGTAAGCAGAGAGAATCTTGAAGTGCCCTAGGTCACCTCCGTGTTTGTAAAGACCAGTCCATGAAACTAAAGACAAGAAATCATAAGGCACAGAAGTGAATGTTCCTCCTCCTGCATATCTAATCTGGGAAAATTTCAGGAAACATAATCTTTCTTCTTTATGTTTTGATACTGAAAGTATTGAACAAGAGCACACGTGTACTCTCTCATGGAACTTATTGTAAATTCCAATCCTGGACAAACATACACTGTTCTTTATAAGCATAAAAGGGAAAAGTCACTCTTCACTGACTTTATTGAGATTGCTTCCAGAAACAGTAAGCAAACATAAAAACATCCCTATCTTCCTTACATGGAAAATAGATCATCACAGACTGTAAACCTTCACCTATATTCTGGTCTGAAAATGGAATCATCCTTGTCAAAACAGCCACAACTGGCAGGATCATGAAGTATACACTTCACTGATAGAATCTAAAAGTTATTTCTTGATTGAGGACATATTAACAAAGTGTGTAATGGTTTTAGTCTCTCTCAACATATTGTATTTGAATTCCATTATTACAGCTCACAACCAGAACTAAAATTGAGTTACTATCTGCCACTAAACAATATAATCAAGTCACAGAGTCTTAAGAGTGTTTTTCATTAATAAAAGTGCTGCAAACATAATTCATAGTTTGAGTATTTAATAGTCCTCTTTTGGGGGATGCTAGTTTTTCATCTGTCCTGAAGATCCTCCTGAGAAATCTATATGTGGGTCAAGAAGCAACAGTAAGAACTGGACATGGAACAACAGATTGGTTCCAAATTGGGAAAGGAGTACGTCAAGGCTTTATGTTGTTACACTGCTTATTTAACTTATATGCAGAGTACATCATGTGAAATGCTAGGCTGGATGAAGCACAAGCTGGAATCAAGATTGCCGGGAGAAATATCAGTAACTTCAGATACCCAGATGACACCACCCTTATAGCAGAAAGTGAAGAAGAACTAAAAGAGCCTCTTGATGAAAGTGAAAAAAGAGAGTGAAAAAGTTGGTTTAAAATTCAACATTCAAAAAACGAAGATAATGGCATCTGGTCTCGTCACTTCATGGCAGATAGATGGGGAAACAATGGAAACAGTGACAGACTTAATTTTGGGGGGCTCCCAAATCACTGCAGATGGTGACTGCAGCCATGAAATTGAAAGACACTTACTCCTTGAAGAAAAGCTATGGCCAACCTAGACAACATATTAAAAAGCAGAGACATTACTCTGCCAACAAAAGTCTGTGTAGTCAAAGCTATGGTTTTTCCAGTAGTCATGTATGGGTGTGAGAGTTGGACTATAAAGAAAGGTGAGCACTGAAAGATGGATGCTTTTAAACTGTGGTGTTGGAGAAGATTTTTGAGAGTCCCTTGGATTGCAAGGAGATCCAACCAGTCCATCCTAAAGGAAATCAGTCCTGAGTGTTCATTGGAAGGACTGATGTTGAAGCTAAAACTCCAATACTTTGGCCACCTGATGCGAAGAACTGACTCATTTGAAAAGACCCTCATGCTGGAAAAGGTTGAAGGTGGGAAGAGAAGGGGACGACAGAGGATGAGATGGTTGGACAGCATCACTGACTTGATGGACATGAGTTTGAGTAAGCTCCTGGAGTTGGTGGTGGACAGGGAAGCCTGGCATGCTGCAGTCCATGGGGTTGCAAAGAATCAGACATGACTAAGTGACTGAATTGAACTGAAAGATCCACTCTGGCCCAAATGTTGGGATAGAATTCACTTGTACTGCTACAGCAGAGCCTTTTATGGAAGGCCTGTTTTTCTCCTGCCAGTTGTTGCTTCAAACACAAAATTAGGTGACTGGGTAAGACCAAATGCTCTGGAGTTAGGTTACTCCAGCTTTCTCTAACCCTTTTGCCTGAGTTTCCTCATCTCCATGTTGGGAGGCTGACAGCAAATAGCTCTTGCGTTGGGCGCACTGTTACTGCTATGCCTGTCACATAGCACATGCGCAGTATATATTAGTTCTCTATCCAAAAGGGTTAGGAGAACGGTGATTTAATGTTGTCAGTATGTGGCATTTTCTGTAATAGTAATTATTCTGATATTATTAATCTTTCTTAGATATTGTCATTTTTCCCCCACAAAGTACCTCAGGTTGCTGCTGCTGCTGCTGCTAAGCCACTTCAGTCGTGTCCGAATCTGTGCGACCCCACAGACGGCAGCCCACCAGGCTCCCCATCCCTGGGATTCTCCAGGCAAGAGTACTGGAGTGGGTGGCCATTTCCTCCTCCAACTTTAGGTTAGCTCTATCTTATTTTTACTGAAGTGTAGTTGATTTACAATGTGTTAAATTCTGCTGTGCAGCAAAGTGACTCAATTATACACATATACAGGTACTTTTTCAGATTCTTCTCCATTATGGTTTATTCTAGGATACTGACTCTAGTTCCCTGTGCTGTAGGTAGGGCCTTGCTCTTTATTCAGTCTGCAGGTAATGTGTGTGTGTGCTTAGTCATTAAGCCCTGTCTGACTCTTTGTGACCCAGGGACTGTAGCCTGCCAGGCTCCTCTGTCCATGGGGTTCCTTGGCAAGAATACTAGAGTGGATTGCCATGTCCTCCTCCAGAAGATCTTCCTGACCCAGGGATCGAACCTGAGCCTCCTGCATGGCAGGCAGATCCTTTACAGTCTGAGCCGCCAGGGACGCCCTCTCTATGTAGTAGTTTGCATCTGGTAACCCCAAATCCCCAATCCTTCCTTTGCCTGTGCCTTCCCCCTTGGCAGCCACAAGTCTGTTCTCTATGTCTGTGAATTTGTTTCAGTTTTGTAGATAGATTCATTTGTATCATATTTTAGGTTCCACATACAAGTGATATCATGGAGAAGCAAATGGCAACCCACTCTAGTATTTTTGCCTGGGAAATCCTATGGACAGAGGAGCCTTGTGTGCTATGGTCCATGGGATTGCAAGAATTGGACACAACTAATTTAGTGACTAAACTACCACCACCGTAAGTGATATTACACGGTATTTATCTTTCTCTTTCTGACTTATTTCACTGAGTATGATCATCTCTAGTTGCGTCCATGTTGGTGCAAATGGCATTATTTCATTCTTCTTTATGGTTGAGTCATATTCCATTATGTATATATATGTACCACATGTTCATCATCCATTCTTTGTCAATGAACATTCAGGTTGTTTCCCTGTCTCGACTACTGTGAATTGTGTTGCTATGAGCATAGTGGTGCATGTGTCTTTTTGAATTATGGTTTTGTCCAGATATATGCTCAGGAGTGGGATTGCTGAATGATATGTTAATTCTATTTTTAGTTTTCTGAGGAACCTCCATACTGTTTTCCATAGTACCTATGCCAACTTACAGCTCTATTTCATATATAGATATGACTTACTGAAAAACTAAACCAATGCAAAAAACAAAACTCTGATTTGTTAGGAAAATACAATTTTTTGAATACAAAAATTCGCAGCCTGATAATTTACTTTATAACATACTATCCTTGAATAATGGTTAACTGATTACCTGAAACTTTTGAAAACAGATTCATTAAATGAGAAGGTAGGTATGTCAGTGAAGATAGATATACTTTGAAATATTCAAAGCTAAGTCAAGAGAAAAAAGGTGAATAAATAGCCTGGATATTTCTGTCTTAAGACAATATAAAATTTGAACTTTTATAGTTAATTTAAAGTAAAAGTATATGTAAAATAGATAGCCAGTGGGAATTTGCTGTATTATCAGGGAGCTCAAACTGGTGCTCTGTGACAACATAGAGGAGTGGGGTGGGGTGGGAAGTGGGAGGGAGGTTCTAGAGGGAGGGGACATTTGTATACCTATGGCTGATTCATGTTGATGTATGGAGAAACCAACCCAATATTGTAAAGCAATTATCCTTCAATTAAAAATAAATAAATTAAAAAAATAAACTAAAAGAATTTTTTTTTCTTGACAACAGAAGGAGATAGACTTTTCTTGGGCTCTAAAACTATTCTGTCCTACATGAATAGATCATTCTTTAATTCTTCTAATAAATACATTCTAGTATTATATATTTATCTTAAAGTCATCATTTAAAAACCAAACTTCCTTGCCATTGATAATTCAAAATATATCATCCCTTGATTTTCTAATGCCTTTAGTGATACTGAACCAATGATTTTACTTAAACTTTCAGACAATTAAGCTTAAAATCAGTTCTTAAATATACAAAATCAAAAATAATGTTTCTAAATTAAACCAATGGCTCTTTTTGTATCTGCAGCATGCTTTAATTTCTACCACATATGTGTAAATTGGCAAAGTACCTAAAAGGCTATAATAATCCTGATGGCTTGGAACCAGTTTTTTACCATCATTGAACAAGTCCATCTACTCTGAATCTTTGGATTAAGACAAAAACTCCATCCTGCCATGCACCTGGTCAGTTGTGCAATCCTGACCAATGAACAGCTGCTAACAATAAGGGTATTGTGCTTATGTAACACAGTTCAGGACCTGATGGTTAGTCTCTTGATAAATGGTGAAACACTAGGGAATATTCTCTTGCCAGGATGCCTGCTTCATGGAAAATACTATGTCTATGTTGACCTGCACCCTTAAATCTTCTCTCTATATGACTTGGTGAACTTGGCTTCTGGAAGATCACATTAGCCTTCCCACTTGGCTTTGAGGGAGTTAAGGATATTTGAGGGAGTTAAGAAATGGCCATACAGTGTTGCAGCAAATGTAATTTTAGGAACTGTTTTCTGTAGACTTGTTTCACCACGTTAACAAAAATCTGTATTATGTTTCTTCCCATCGATGTGGGTGTGTCCTTGTGTGTGTATTCAAGAGAGGCTTCCGTTTGTTGAGTGATCTTCATGCAAACATCTTGGAGTGCTTTACAAAAGAATTTTAAAAATTAAACCAAACAGGATATGAAACTGTGCTGCCAAACAAGTAAGTCTTTAGGCATGATTTAAATTTAGTTAATGACATAAAGAGCTAAATCTGTGAAAGGAAGCAAGTTCCTTGGATCAGAGAAAAAAGCAGCAGAAAACAGATACTCATATTTTGTAAGTCTTCATTTGAGTAGCTCCAAAAATGTTCTTTTAGAAGTGTAGTTGGAAAACCCCAGGCTAAGTGAGTTCCAAGGAACAGTATTTTAGGGAAAAAGACCAGATAATGGCTCCCGTGTACATAGCAATCTACAGATTACAAAGTGTTTTCCCAGCTTTGATGACAATCTTACTTGTCACAAAACCCCACCAAAGCTAAGGAATATGCTATTCCATTTTACAGATGAGTAAGCTGATAACAGGAGAAATTAAGGAATTATACTAAGGTCACTCAGCCAAGAAGTGATTGAGATAGGATCTGAATATGGATTTTGATCTAAATCTGGTGTTCTACTTACAGTACCATGAGTCGAGTCTGTGGCATATCCTTTATGCTGGATACATTTCTCATGCCACTATAGATCTCTGTCTCTGATATAACAGCAGTGACTGGCTTCCTGGGATAACATAGTATTATTCTGTCTCTTAGGAAGGACTGCTGATATTCCTAAGTGAGAAATTTGAAAACCAGGGTCTTCTAATGCCAAGTACATAGCAATTGATAATATTGTGGCTTAATCCTTTCAAAACATTTAAGCTGACTTTTATGGTTTGCTTTTCAAATTACCCTCTAAGCAGTTGCCAGAATCCTCCCTGAATCAATGTGATTTGATTCAGGCATCAGTCTCAATGTTGCAGGTATCTTCTCTTAGCTGTGGATTGTAGTAGGGAAATTGGGGAATTCTTAATGAGCTTCCTGTCCTCTGCTGACTTGGACCAAGTGTGGTTATTCTAGAACCTCTTAAGATTCCACGAGCATTGTGGTTTTAGACAGTGAGTCATGGCCTTGTGCCTGAGGAGTGGGTGATACAGTCTGTGGACTGATTCTCAAGATACACAGTGTTCAGGGTCATTCAGAACTGACTGTGCTACAGCTGCCTAGTTTTGTTGTTGTTGTCTTATTGCCTTTTCCTTTAAAAACACATTGGATTTCTCATCCAAGTTTTAGACATTTAAAAGTTTACATTTTCTCTGGTACTCCTTTAACTTTAGACAAATCCAGGAAGAACTCTGCTTTGTGACTCTGTCAATTGTTTGGCAAAACACATGTGGTAGAAACCAACAGCAAGCAATGGAAACCTTGTCTCTGTAATCAGCTCCTTGAGCAGGTCACTCGAGCCAAATATAAGCCCAACTAAGGCAATGGAAAAATGGAGGAACACTATTAGGGCATTCAGGGCCTTGCAGCAAGCCAATTAACCTAAGCATGTTACTTTTTACCTTACATTTCAGTACACTTTTTGCAGATTTTTACCTTTATGCTTAATTGTGAAACATTGACATAAAGACTTAGCTATTTTGCCTTCAGCCAATAAGCACAGCCTATCCAAAAGATTTATATGACCTCCATATGTCATTTAAGCATTTGAGACAGGATGACAATCCATCCCATGTGGAACCATCAGGGATAAAAGATAGTTGGAACTGTGTTTCCAAATTGGCTGCATTTCCCAGTCTGGCCTCTTATATGGCACTTGCTCTCTCATCCTTCATTCTTTCTGGTGATCAGTTATCTCTGACTGCATTGTTCTAACCTTTGGGCACAGCCTTCCTCCTTGAGCCTGAGTTTGTCCCAGTTTCACTTTTATTGCCTATTTTCTATTCATTTCTTTCAACTTGACTTTAGCTCCTTAGCTCCTGCCTCTGGACTTGCTTTTTTACCTACCTTTGCCAATCTGCCCTTAGTTTGATCTGCTCTGAGCCTCTATTTTTTGAATCCTTATCACATGACTGTCCATCATGTGTTACCCTCAGTAACTTGACTAACTGAATATATTCCTGCTCCTTATCATCTGGTTCTTCTGCATCTCAGTGTGTTAGTTGTGTTTCTCTGTATCTAGCACTGTGCTTCATGCTCTGGAAAGAATATGAAATAATAGAAGATAGGGTTCTGCTCACTCTCCTATCTTCCTGGACTATTCCTTTTCATATATGTCCTGAACTTTCAATGATCCACGTCTCTACCAGCCAGCCAGACTTTGGTAATCATTTCTTCTTTTAAATTCCTTTAGCGTTTGCTGTCCAGGTGGCTCAGGATCACCTGAAAGATGACTCATTGTTGCCTAATGTTAGTATTATAGTAAGCTCTTGGAAGACAGGTCTTCAGATCCTCAGTCCTTGGCAGTGTGTCTTGCATAGGATAGATGCTCAATGACTGCTAACTAGTTTTCTGTGGAATATGTGCACAGAAAAACTGACAATACAGCTGTATCATATAACCTAGTTCTAAATGGAACCATATAGTTTTAAGTGTTGAGTAATGTTGTCCAATAGAAATTTATGTGAGGATTGAAATATTCCTTATCTTCCTTGTCCAGTATAGCAGCCATTCACTACATTTTTCTGTTAAGCACTTGAAATATAACTACTGTGACTAAGGAGCTGGGTTTAAATGTAAAAAGCTGGAGAAATATCATGTGATATCCCTTATATGTGGAATTTAAAAGGAAATGATACAAATGAATTTACAAAACAGAAAGAGACTCACAGACTTAGAGAATGAACATATATGGTTGCCGCGAGGAAGGATGGGGGGAAGAGATAGGGAGTTTGGGAAGGACATGTACACACTGCTATGTTTAAATGGATAACCAACAAGGACCTACTGTATAGCACATGGAACTCTGCTCAATGTTATGTGGCAGTCTGGAAAGGAGGGGAGTTTGGGGGAGGATGGATACATGTATGTGTATGGCTGAATTCCTTCTCTGTTCCTCTGAGATTATCTCAGCATCGTTAATTGACTATACCCCAATATAAAATAAAAAGCTTTTAAAAATTATTTAACTGTAATTAATTTAAGATTTAAAAAAAGCTGTAGTGTGTGGAGTGGCTACCAGACTGAATAATGCATGCTACAGTAATGTGGAGAATGGAATGGTAAATGTGAACTGTGAATTGGGAAAGTTCTCATTGAAGGAAGATGCATTTGGCTCATAAAGATGGGAAGCAGAGAGAAGGGGAGGTATATTTTAAGTGAAGTGATATAGCAGGAGCTCTGAGGTGATTAAAGATGTTATGTTTGGAATCAGTTTGAAGACCTGAAGTAAAGCAGAGTTTGAGAACCAGAGATCATAATAGCAATAATAGCTGCCACTTATTATACTACAGTGAAAGTGAAAGTCTCTCAGTCGTGTCTGACTCTTTGTGACCCCATAGACTATATATATAGTACATGGAATTGTCCAGGCCAGAATACTTGAGTGGGTAGCCTATCCTTTCTCTAGGGGATCTTCCCTAACCCAGGGATTGAACCTAAGTCTTCTGAACTGCAGGCGGATTCTTACCAACTGAGCTATCAGGGAAGCCCAACAAGCCACCTGTTAATTTAATCTTCACAATACTATGACTCAGAAAATATAATTTGCCCAAGGGTACAAATTAATATATGGTAGACCTGGGATTTGTACTAAAGTCTGTCTAGCTTAAAAACTTAAACTCTTAACATACTATACTGTCTCATTCTCTGACATGTTAAGAAAAACTTAAAAGTAGAAAGTTGCCCAAATGTCCCCTCATCTGCGAAATGTGTTAACAATGGAATACATGCAATCAATGGAATACTGCTAAGCAATATAACAAGTAACAGAACTAGAAATAAATGTAACAGTATGGATGAATTTCAAGTGCATAATACTAAGCGAAAGAAATCAGATATAAAGGCTGCATACTGTATGATTCTATTTATATGACATTCTAAAAAGGTAAAATTTATAGGGACAGAAGGCAGATCAGTGGATGTCATGAGCTGGTGGTGAAGGCAGGGAATGACTACAGCTGAACAAGAGAATTTGGGGGGCAGGTGATGAATATATTCTGTACTTTGATTGCAGTGTTGATTACATGATTCTGCATTTGTCAAAACTCACAGAACTGTGACCTATAGAGGGTAAATTTTCCTATATGTAAATAGCACTTCAGTAAAGTTGACTGAAAAAGAAAGGCTTACAAGTAGTTCCAAGTTTATTTTCACAAAGGCAGGTGGGAATATGGTTGGTTATTCTCACTCAGGCTATTTTGAAAAAATAAATAATTCTAAATTTTTTGTGTCGAAACATGTCTTCATATTTATGATATGTATATATACACATACAACCACATATAACAGAAAAATTATGTAGAAATTGAAGACTCTTAAATGTGTGTGTGTGTTTGTGTTTGTCTAAAGCAGTTAAATTTGTATTTGACATGAGTTGATATAGTACGTGTTTATTCAACTTGGTGTTTATTTGCCATCAGCATGGGAAAGAGGGTGGAGGTGAAAGAGGAAGATATATTTTAATTAAACCTGAATGGTAAGATGTCATATAATTTATCCCATTTTCCTTTTAAGTGAAAAATAACTACCATATGAAGTCATTGGCCCTTTTGAAAACTTACTTTAAAATTTCCCAATGCATAATGTAATTCTTGTTTGTACAATAAAACCATTTGTATGAGACAATAATAGTACAATGGATATCTTTTTGCACATACTAATGTTCTTCTTTAATATTTCCAAGAAAACTGTCACACAATTAATCATCTAAAAGGCTTACGTGACTTTGTCTTCACTCGTTTTGTTGTATGTTCATAAAATCATAGATACGTCTAATTTTTAGGCAGAGTGGACGTCAAAATATTTTACATGCTGCTCTGTTGTCTATGAGCAGATAAGGGGTTATCTCTGTTTTACAACTGAAGAGGCAACATGCAGAGTAGTTTTATAACTTTCCCATGGTCACATTTCTAATGCTCAAAGAGTGATTAATCTTAATAAAGAACTATAAACAAGATTGATGAATGATTATGATTTAAGCATTTTTCTTGGTGTTCTGCCTTTAGCATTTCTCCAGGTTCAAG